TGATTGACTGATCTGATTGTCAAATAAGTACTTGTCCATATTGAGAGATTTTGCTCTGGAACAGAATTAATTAAAACAAAATGGCCACTGGTCAGTCATTTTGAATACATCTATATACAGTAATCAGTCAAAGCACGTCAGAGATAAGGCTCTAGAACCGTATTCATTAAAACTAAATGGCCGCCAGTCAACCATTTTGAATTTGGTCTGAAAAACAAAATGACGTTCATCAAGGACTAATAATGTCTAATGTATGTACCAAGTTTGAACGCAATCCATCCATAAACGACCAAGATCCAGTTCCGGAATGCCTGATTTTTAATGATGTTTTAGCACAAAAATGGCCACCACCTCTGTATATCTATTACATGATGTATAATGAATATATAAAATTTGAACATAATCAGTCAAAGCATGTCAGAGATATGGCTCTAGAACCGCATTCATTAAAACAAAATGACCACCAGTCAGCCATTTTTAATTCGATCTGAAAAATAAAATGAAGTGTATCAGAGACCCGTAATGTACCATGTTTGAACAAAATTCATCCGGAATGCCAGAAATGCTTGATTTTTTAGCACAAAAATGATCGCCATTGGCCATTTTGAATCAGAAATTTAAACCAATATATCTACGACATGATGTACATCGAATATATAAAATTTTAACATAATCAGTCAAAGCATGGCAGAGATATGGCACTAGAACGGAACTAATTACAACAATCTGGCAAATAATTACGTGGTCGATTTTTTGAAGCAAAATGGTTTTGCAGTGAATAAGAATGTGAAACCCATGAACATCCTCTTGGCAATAGACATTTTTTGCTGTTTTGAGACTGCAGCATTTGCATTTCAAGAATGTTTCGCATTGTTTCATTTTTAAATTCAAACTATTCCAAATTGTGAAACATAATATTTTGACACAAATAAAAAAAAATTATTTGCACTGTGACTGTTGCCTAATTTATATTCATATTACTCATTAATATTCATAAGCAACCAGCACTCTCATTGGGCTGGGGAATTCCCTGATATGCTATTAATAGAAGTGTCATCTACTCACAGCTGGAGCCTCTTCTATGATCTTCTGATGTCGTCTTTGAACACTACAGTCTCTTTCAAATAAATAAACATAATTGCCATGCTGGTCCCCAAACACTTGAACTTCTACATGCCTGAGGAACAGAAGTCAATGTAATAGATGACAGACCATGCTTGTGTAATTCAGTTCTGTTGAAGTAACAGTTGGTTTTAGGTGCTTAAAATTAAATTTGATCAAATTTAATAACCATTTAAACAATTACAGAATCTAATATATGTCATGCATTTATCACACACACCAATGACATACAATGATTATCTGACTCTGTGAGAGATAAATTAACATGTCCATTAACATGTCCCCGTTAGTTATCAAATGTAAAGCGAGGGGGTCGTCACCTGCGCACACACGGAAATTGAGTCCCAAACAATGATAACAACACATGCTATAACGCAAAGGCTCATGGGTAGACACTTGTTTTTAAACAATGACACGCTATGGCCATCTGATGCATGCTCAGAACTCAACTCAGAAAATCATGATTTTTTAGAAATGGGTGTTTACCCGAGCACCCCTCTCGGAAAAGATTGCAAATGACAATTTTAATTCACCACATGACAGCTTTGAGGAAAAATAAAAATTACGAAATTAGTTGCGTCGTCAATGACTATTACAATGAAGAAACAGAAATGGTCACAAAAAATATGCACATTTGATTACAATATTAATTTTGTACAACCCAAATTTATGAGGTTAAAAATATTATAGAGTCTGTTGGAACACAGTCAAAGCCAAAATCTTCATCATTATCTCCACTGATGAATGTGTTGGATCGTACGCAAACTCTCTATGAAAAGCACTTTCTGCCATGATGTTTTGACAATGATTTGACCTGCAACAACATCCTTTGACCTAATGTGTCAAGTCTGTTATTAACCAATCAGAATGCTGTGTTGTACCGACGCAATTATTTGGAAATTTCTTTCTGGTAACTCAATGCAGATGTGAATTATCAATGTCAAAGTACGATCTGTTAAAATTTGATTTTGGCGAATAAACGACATGGTTCATTCAAAGGACTGGTAACTAGCAATTTTTGATAGGTAAACTGATTATGGCATGAAATATTTACCGCATTGTACTTTTGTTAACAGGTCATTGCAAAAGTGTAATTTACGCACAGTTACTGTGGTCTACACATTCACAACATATTCACGGCGGTCGATATCCACGCTGTATCATATAAAAACAATTACCAGTATTTGTTAAGCAATGATCAAAGACCAAGTTTTTAATTAGTGGCATTTTATAGGGGTGGGCACATTGCTGAATGTAACCTTCAATATAAAAATTAATGCAAAAGTGGAGTGGGCACTTGACCGGGCATAGGCACTAACGATAATCAGTCAAAACATCTCAGAGATGGTTCTAGAACCGTATTCATTGAAGCAAAATGGCTGCCAGCAATTTTGAATTCGGTCTGAAAAACAAAATGAAGTTCATCATGGACTAATAGTGTCTAATGTATGTAGAAAGTTTGAACGAAAAATATATCATAAACGACCAAGATCCAGTTTCGGAATGCCAGAAATGCTTGATTTTTGATGATTTTTTAGCACCAAAAATGGCCTCCACTCAGCCATTTTCAATCAAATGGTCAAATCAAAAGACTTGTATATCTATTACATGATGTACAATGAATTTATAAAATTCGAACACAAAAAGCAAAGCATATCAGAGATATGGCACTAGAACCACATTTATTAAAACAAAATGGCCCTCAGTCGGCCATTTTGAATCTGATTTAAAAAACAAAATGATGTACATCAAGGTCCTATAATGTCCAATGTATATACCAAGTTAGAACAAAATCCATCTGCAAACAGCAGAGAAATGCTTGATTTTAGTGATTTTTCAGTATTAAATTCAACCATTTTGAATCAGATTGTGAAACAAACTGATGTGCATATGAATAATAGTTTGAATGTAATCGTCCAGGCATGTCTAAGATATAGGTCCGGACACACGCATGGATGAGTTTATGCTTTCTTTCCTATATAATCATATGGGTGAGGTGTTATATGCAAGACACTGTTACTGGTAAGCAATTACCTTGGTGTTTCAATATATTTTTCTAACAGAACAACATCATCTTTAAATGCACCTAAGGCTTCTCTTTTGGCAGAGTCCAATTGAGTCTGGAATTCACTTTCATTCTTCACAATACGCATACCCTGTGTATAACAAATAGTACACTATGACAAAGATACCGAGGTAAAGCCTTGTGTTTTGTTGAAATTTGCAACCCAATGTGTATTAACATATCAAGTTTGATTGAAATTATCCAACTCTAAGAATTCAACTTTTAGATTAAACAATTTTTACGTAAAAAAATGGCCTTCAGTCAGTCTTATCTGATTTAGATCAAAAATCAATTTAATTTATCAAGTTCTTTGTACTACTTTCAAAAAATTGTGTCGCATACGACTTGTTTACCACTTCCGTGTGACTGAGA